TGAGTAGGCAGGGAAGAACAATCTTTAGAACAAGGAAGAGTATCACTGTCATCATCATCTAGGGCAGAGAAGAAAGGAAGGCAAAACTTTAAAAGTTGGGCAAGCCCTTTTTTTTTGTTTGTGGAGAGCAGGGTTGAATTTGTGATGAAGCCACAGCTGGGACCCCATGTACTGGCAGCGTGCAGGCTAACACTTTTTGCTGTTGATGTCTCTGGAGGTGGGTCCTCCACCTGTGACCTCAACTCCAGGCCTGTGCCCTTCATGATTTGGACAAGGCTTTCTCTTGGTCCATGTTCTGGCAAATATTTACACTATTACTTTCTTTGAGGATACGGGGAGAATTATTTGCCCCAAGCTATTAGGTTTCTTTTATGAAAGTTTTAATTTTTTTCTTACTGAAAATAATAGCTATTGCATCATAGGAGACATTACTATTAATTTTTCTATACCCTTAAAAAGTGTTGAAAGTACTATATATAGTAAAACACATATATTTTTTGTGTATTAAAACCATGTCATATATCCAACAGACTCCCAACTCATTGGGTAATTCCTTAATTAGGCAGATTTTTCAAACATGTATTATGGACACAACAGACCGGAACGTCTCCTTTGGAGCATTTTCTAGTCTATCGGGTGATTACATCATTAAGCCACACATGCTACGTAGAAAAATCCTTATGAAAATTCATGAAAAAATGTACAGCACATCATTAGCATGCAGCAGGCATGTATGCTTTTGATAGTTTTCTGCTTAAGAAGAAACCTACATGAAGTAATTAGTCGAGGTCGGGACAGTGTGAGACTGGTGCCAGACTCTGGCAAAAAAGAAAATTACAAAAAACTCATACCTCTCATGGTTTATCTGAGAGTAATTTACTTTATTGGAAAATGGATTCTTGAACAATGTTCATCTGAATTACAGCAAAGTAAGAGTGTTGCTTTATTGATTTGATATTTCCAATATACATCTAACTTCCTTCCTACTGCTTGTGTGGACAGCCTCAAGTTTTACAAACTCATGGGTGAAAAGGGTGCAGTGACCAATGGGAAAAGCCAGTTGTTACTCAAGGCCTTGCACTAGCAAATGCTTATGTATTTAAGCCTTCATTTTATGTAATCAAGAGTTTAAGATATTACATGGGTGTATTGTTTCTCAGTAAATAAAAACTGTTCAAGTAAAGTGAATATGTATAATATTGGCATAAATTTTAGTGGTGGAGTTTCATATACATACCATTAGGAAAGCAATAGATTTTACCTAAAAGTTTTGTAAGAAGGAACTACTAAACTGACTGCTTTTCAATCCTTCTATAAATGATGCATTTCTCACTAAAAAACCCCAACAAAAACCAAACCAAACAAAAAGCTGAGTACTTGGAGAACAATGAGCATATGCAAGACAGTAAGGAGCCCAGCAGCACTCCCTGAGTGCCCCCAATCTTCCTGGCTTAAAAAGCTTCCCAATTTTCTCTGAAGGTAGTGGCGTTTATTCACTGGGCCATGGCTAATTTTACATGGAATGCAAAAATGTTAGTTTAAGTTTAATTTACCACCCTATTTAAATATTTCCAATGTAGCTAGCTCTCCAACTGCAGAGCTATCCCTCCGTCTATTTTAATTTTAAAGTAAGTTAGCATAGGGCTTCCTTCTTAATCCCCAGAGACTACCTACATAGTGACACAGACACACACATTTATGACGGCAACATAAATGCTCTTCTGAAGTAATGTGCAACATTAAGTGAAAATCGTTTCCTGGAAAGATATTATAGGTATCTATATTTTATTTGCCATCTTAAACATATCTGGGTCTTTATGGCCTTATTTTAAAAATGTATTTCCTTTTTATATTTCCTGGTGCAAATGGACTGCATAAATAAGCAATGTGCTATGAGGCTTCAGACCAGCCGATAAAACCTTTCAATTTTCATGCCAGCTTCTTCTTTTGTAATTCAAATCTGCCTGGAAACTGGCAGCTCTGAAAACTGAAACAAGCACTGCCACAAATACCTTGTAATGCTATCGACCTTGTCTGCCCATGCAGTGAGAAAGGGGGTGCGGATGTGTCTGCAGCCATCCAGATAACACAACTCATTTTTTGGGGGGGGGGCACGAGGTGGGGATAACAGAAGCCAGCCCCAGACTGCACCAAAAGCAGTCATTACCAGGCAAGCTAGAGAATAAGTCTCTTCAAAATACACAGTGCATTTAAAACCATATATGAGGCTGAGCCACTGCTGCCATTACCAATTTTAATTTAGCTCCTTCAGTTTGCCAGTCAGATAAACTCTTTAGTGCAGTTTTTTAATCTATTTGCCACATTTATGTTTAAGATTATAGTAATATGGATAGGAGAAGGAATCACTTTTAGGGGAAATAAAGAAATAGATCCGCTTATCGGCACCCATCAGAAAGTTCATTAATCAGCTGGGCTTTGTGCCCTCTAAATTGAAAGGTTAAATAATCCTCTCAGGAATATTTTTCAGCCCCTCCGCCAATTGTCCGGAGAGGAGCTGCCATTCATAGCACACGGGATCAGTGACAGGGTATCTTACCACTGTTTGGACCCCAAACAATGACGGACAAATGGCCTGGTTTACAAAGAAACCTTTTAGTACACAGATGGAAAGGACCACAAGCTTTGATGTAGGGGAGGGTTGAGGAGGGTTGGGAAGGGACAGAAAAGAATACACACATGTATGAATCAGATATTGTATCGCCAGCTTTACTGTAGTAGAGTGTAAGTCATGTTAAATATCTATTTTTCAACCATATGAAATGCTTACATAAACCTCCACTGATAATTATAGATTAGAACCATAGCTCTATTGCATTTATTAGTTAATACATGGGGACCCAAACAAATTCCAAGCTTTTGATTTTGACTGTAAATCCATATGACTCTCCCCCCAAGCCTGCTTATTCTATTGAATCCTGTTGGCTATCAGTAACACACACAGAAAATTTCACAGCTTCAAGGACCTGCTCAAGGTAGTCTTGTTTTATTTTTGTTACATTTTAAACATTTAAACTTTATTTCATATGTGTGAGTATTTGTCTGCACTTATGTCTGTACACTACTGTGTGCCTGATGCCCACAGAAGCCAGAAGAGGGTGAGGGCCCTGGAACTGGAGTTACAGGTAGCTCTGAGCCACCACAGGGTGCTGGGAAACAAACCCAGGTCCTCTGGACCACTGAGTCATCTCCCCAGCTTTGGTCTTCTGTTTTTATGTTGCATCCTGTCTTAAAATAAGGAACATGGACTAGGAGTGCCCTTTGGAGGGCAGATACCACACACGTCGAGAAAGTGCCTAATTTGGCATTGCATTTTTTTCTGAACCCACACACGACTGGGAGACTGCAGAGCTCAGGCAGCTCTCATATTTTGTGATGTTCTCTGACAATGTTAAACCCTGGTAGATTATCTTATGAAAAGGACCCCTCTTTTCCTTGTATAAGACACTATCATTGCTGTGAGCTGTATGCTCTCCTATTATTCTCACTATAAAGATTTATATACTTTGCTTACAGTAATGAGCCATAGGACACTGAAGTTATGCTAAAAATGATGCACACAGTAGCTTAATCCATGTATCTCAAAGTGATATCATTACTCCTCTTCCCCCCTCCCTTTTTCCTGTTTTCTTTAATGCTGGGGATGAAACCCAGCGCTAAACATGCACTGCATTTTTATGTATGATACGGACTTTACATGGTCATTTTTATAGGAAAGGAAGTAACTTAAATCTTTTGTGATAAAATCTTAAATGTTTTTTATGCTGGTTTTTAGGTAAATCAAATTAAGAAAACAATTTGTTTACTGTACTTAATTAAGAGTTACTCACCTAAACTGGGCGTGGTGGCGCACGCCTGTAATCTCAGCACTCATGAGGCTGAGGCAGGAGGATCTCGAGTTCCAGGCCAGCTTGGTATATAGCGATTCCAGGCCAGCCTGGGCTACATAGGAAGACCCTGTCTTGGGAAAAAAAGAAAAAAAAAGAAGTTACTCACCTACATTTTTTTGAAACAAGTAAGACAAGTATAAATAATAAGAAAAGGAGAACGGCTTGTAAGTACTGTAACTCCAGTAACTGTAAGAAGGAAACATTGTTAGGAGACCAAGAAGAAGCTGTTACACTCTCCTCACCTTGAGCAGAGACCCTACAGCAATCTGAGTCTGGGCTATCCCCAGACCATCTCTAGGTGAGGTGCTGCGCGGAGCTTACCTGGTTTACATGCTATGAGCAGAGCTGTGAAGTCCGGCAGACACCTCACTGTGTGCAGGCTCACACAGTCCTGAAGCCAAGAGCTGAGGCTCTTCTGCATCAGACATTTTAACAACAACCTCTGTATACACTACATGATAGAATCAAATTTGAACCAGAGTACAGCCCTAAGTCAGCATTCTTTTCCTTATCTTGTGGCACAGAACATTAACTCATTGATATGCCCGCCCTTCGGTCCAAATTTCATAGCATATTTTTCAAAACATGTATAGTACAACTGTGAGACAAAGGAGTTGTCAGAGATCTAAGACATACAAAAACAGAGACTTTTATTTTATAAACAAAGTTAACACACAGCCCCAAACTCAGTTCTCCTAATTGCAAGTATCTGTATAGAAGCATATTCATAGAAAGTAGGTATTTAGCTGGGAATGACAGTTTATGCCTGTAATCCTTGATCTTTGGAGGCTGAAGTAAAAGAATCAATCAGTAGTTCAAGGCCAGCCCAGGCTAGCCCCATAAAAGAAAACAAACAAAAACCTCAAGTGGGTATTTATAAGCACAGAGAGATTACAAATTAGAAAAATGCTCTTATAATACATCTAGTAGATAGTTATAATTATGTGTGTGCACATGTACATGCATAATAGAAATAATGTACACACACACACTTAAAAAAATAAAGAAAATAAAGCTGGGCATAGTTTAGGAGGCTAAGGCAGAAGGAACTGCCTGTCTCAAAACAAAGTTAAAATAATCTGGTGGCCTTACCAGTAACTGAAGTATGTGTTTGCATGTATGGATTATTTCCACAAATACAGATTTCTGAATTCTCATAGTAAATAATTCTTGTTTCTGAAAAAGGATCCATTCATATATTGATAAACTAGTTAAGGTAAAGGTACAACTTAAACTTATGTACATGCATGCATGTGTGTATGTATGCGCATATGTAAGTATACTTGGATTATATACATACATGCATATAAATATATGTCTTCAAGCTTTAATTGTTCAATGCGATATGACTTTGTAGCTTTTTTCTTCATATAAATTACTGACATTACTTAAAGGCCAATCCTCAAATATCTGGAAGAAATACTTACAAATGTACAAATTCACATATAATTCCCTTGACTTTCCAATACATGAGGGAGTTAAGTGACCACTGAATTTAAAGCTTAAAGTCAGAACAATCCGAGTAGTAATTCATAAATCTCTAGTCACTTGAAAGAGTACTTCTGAAACCTTACAGTCCTCTTCACTTGTTTATTACAGGAGCCTGTATGGTGATAAGGCAGCTCTGGTGCAGACACTGCTCGTGGAGAGGTCAAGGGGTACTTTCCGAGTCGTCAAAGGACTGACCTACAAGACTATGCTGATCCTAATTGTACTTAATAACGGAAGGAACACTTTTGTTACTTCCATTTTGTTTGTATGTATACCTTATTTACATTTATTGTTGCCCTGAAATACCCAGAGAAGCACACAAGAGTCAGTTACTTGGTAATATACTTTTAAGGAATGCAAAACCCATCTATTATATGAAAAATAGCCACTCAAATATGCTAAAATTATACATTTCTCTGTTCTGATGTGTACATAACCTGCAAAAAATTGCTTAACATTTCATATTAGAAAATTATAATTTCTGGTATTAGATGGTATATGGTGGGCAACTGTAAGCTTGAGAAAATTTAGTTTAAGGGTTTTTGTTTTGTTGATATTCACATTCATCGTAAAGTGGCATTCTTTCAAAGTGCAGAGTTCCCAGTAAAAAAGAATAGTTTTCTTGGGATGACATGACTCATGTATGTATTTTACTAAGGAGACATAAAAAAAAAATCAGTATGTGCCACTTATTAAAATGTGAACTACTAGAAATGGAATTTAATTGCTATATGTTTAGTTATTAACAACTCTTTTCTAGTGATTGAACATAATTCATTTGTTAGTAAACTGCACACAATGAGGGGGGGGGAGAAAAAAGTAACAAAATGTTTGAGTGTAACTTTCTACTTTCTGTTATCCTCAGGAAAAACAGTATAGGAAAGGAATAAGCACAGATTTCTTTCAAGTTTTAAGCAGAAATCAAACTTGAAGCTCATCTGGTGAATACACAAGTCCTCAGCACGCTGGTCATTCCCTCCAGCCATTAGGGAACAGAGACCGTTTTGAAAATCAAATGAAGAAAGTAGTTACAAACTATAGTAGATCTTCAGATTAAACTAATCTTTAGATTATCTAAAAAATGATCAAAAGTATGAAAGCTAATGGTGAGGTGACTGCAGACATTCAGAAAGTGGCAAAGCACAGGTGTTCCTAAGTAAAAGCACCCAGACAGCAGTGCATGCCCACTGCTTCACCATTTCAGATGCCGTGTATCTACACCACCACCACCGAGTGTGAGAACAAGCCTGTACAAAACATATCATATTGATTTCCTGTCCAAGTTAAATTATTTTGAATTAAAATATTAAAAGTCAAGTATATTGAAAAATCTCTAAAGTAATGGATACCTCATTTTCCTTCAAAAATAAGAAAAATATTAATATTATTACTTCAATAAAATATAAATTATTTTATTGTACTCTTAACTAAAAAATCAAATGTGTACATGACTTGAAGAAACACGAAAGGAAAAATAATAAGCATTAATAGTGCACAGTGTCTACACTTTCCCACTTCCCTTTATAGGAACAGCTTTAGAAAACTGCTTTTTGGTGACTTGGCAAATTATATTTATTTTAAAATGAATCTCATTTATTGAGATTGATAATTCCAGGTTCTATCTTCTTTGAAAGTGCATTTTCTAATTGCTTTCAACAATTAGTTCTGGCATGTCTGTAAAATACTTAAAAAAATTAATTCTTTAAAAGTCATTACCTTTTATATACTAAGTTAAAAAATGGTAAGACTGACATAAAAAATCTATCATAATCTTGATATTAAGTGCAGAGAAAATACTTAAAATATTGAATACTAATCTATTTCTGATAAAATGTCCATGTGAAAAAACTTCAAAAATTCTGTCACTGTTCAAATGCATTTCCTATCTGTTATCACTGAAGTCATCAATGCTTATTAAAAAAAATTATTGGTGCTGTAGGTATTGAAGTTCAGTGGCAAAGCTCATACTTAACGTACATAAAGCTCTGGGTTCAGACCCAGTACCAGAAAACAAACAAACAAACAAATTGTGTTATTTAGATGCCGAGTGACTAGAAGAAAAAGTGAAGCAGTCTGGCTGTGTAGAGCCCTGTAAGGCCCATCAATCACCTAAGTACTACAAAGGGGAACACATGCCTTCTCAAGCTCCAGACCACACACACATTAACTTTAGCACTGTGTCAGTGTTTAAGGGGATTTTAAAGAAAACTGAATCTTTGAAATTTAACATATATAGTATCTCAATAGCAAACTTTAGTTAATTAAAACACTGACTAGAATTTATATGAGTTTTCTTGGTTCTGGGAGTTGGTAAAGTGGATTGAATTACCAAATGATTTTATAAAAGCTGTTTATGATAATCTCTCTGTCAGGCCCTTAAAAATGGTAACTTTTTTTTTAATAGTGAGAACTAGCCCTCACTCTATTTTGGAATGGACAGTTCTAAAGATAATGCCCAGCCAATCTATTTTCTTAAACACACACCTGGGCTGTTGTTTCACTTACCAACACGTGCAAACACTCACAGGAAAAGAACAAAGCCTTCCCAGTTAAGCGGTGTGCGAACAGTGTTCTCACGGGTGGGAAGGTCTGCTTAGATAGCTAAAAGGCTTTCAGAAAGTCACCCAAGACTCCTAACACATCCAACCAAAAGGAAGTTTCTTAAAAAAAAAAAATTCTCCATCGAGACTGACTTTTAAAAATATTTTCCTTTTTTATTTTAAGTTATTTTGAAAGAAAAACATGGCATTTTAGCATTAGGGAGTTAAAAATTGTTATTTACCCCTCCTTATACCTCAGTCCCAAGATAAAGAGAATCAAATGGCTGTGTCTTCAGCACCTACACTCACTTCCCCATTCTTTCCTCCTGGACTGTAGAACAGCTCTAAAGTTAGCATTTAGTCTGTTGCTATTTGAGGTAACATTCTGTAGCATATGGCTTAGAATTCTTTAGGAGGTAAGTTCTGATTTGGTGTAAAATTCACACTGGAAACTCAGAAAATATACTACTACTAAGTTGGTGTTTCTAGATAAGGAGAACGAAATGACTGCTGTTAACTGCAGTCAGTAAGGATATACTCTTGCCATTCGGTGGGTTCAGGGTCTTGATTACCAGTAAATCCTGACCATAAACTTCCCTGGGCCAGAAAGGAAGCAAGGAAATTCATTTCTCTTCTCTATTGCACAGTTAATAAATACTTCCATTTTTAAAGTGTAAATTCTAACATTCCAAACATTATGAATAAACATTTAAAACTTAACATTTAATTAATTTCCTTCCTTATTCTGAAACTTTTCGTTAAAATAAGAAGCAGTAAGATTGTAATACATTTTAAGCCCATACAAAGAAGAAGGACAAAATTAAACATAAAAGGTCCATTAACCTTTTTGGTTCTTAATACATAGAGCCTCCAAATTAAAATTTCCTGATTACTTTTAAGCAAGCAGGTTAAGAATGTCTACTGCATGTCCAATTACAGTTCTAACAGGTAGAAGGTCTTGGTTAGAACTCTGCTGGTGCCGTATCAGCCTGGGGTTTTTACTATGGCATGCGGAATGAAGAGGTGAGAGAAGGGGCTTTCTTTCTTGACAGGGTGTTATTTGAATGAGGAAAAAGTCAAGGCTGCTAACAATCTGAAGGCAGAAGTTTCAATGTAAAGAATAGGGTTATATGATTAAAACATTTAAAAACTTCTAACACTTTTTAGGAAGTAAAAGTATTAGCTATTGCAGGAAATTATGTAATTGTTAAGCAATTTTCCCCTCACATATGTGTCCAGATCAACAGAGATATCATAATTAATACGACTTTTATTAACCACTGAGATGCACAGAGAAGAGCAGTGAAGACACATGCTATGCTGGGTGTGTGTTTAGAATCTTACCAACATGCATCTTTTGGAATGATGGACTTGCCTTTTATTAATGAAGTCAGGTTTGTTTTTTAAAAAAGCTCTAATTAGGCACAATCTGTTAGAGATTTCATTTTACTTTTGATGAAATTACTAAAAATAATGAACACTTCTCTTTTGTAATCTTATTTGGCAATATTTTAAGGAAGTTTTGAAATTTCACAAGTCTACCTATGTTAATTAACACTGCCATCCTTACATGCTTGTGAAACAGAGGCTTCCTAGACAGGCCCGGTTTTGTAGTTGCTCAGAGTGTGCTTGTTCTGGAAATGAGCTTCCAGTTTCATCAGCTGGGAACCACACAGCAGCATGTGGAAAAGCACTCTATGTAGACAGTTTCACACTGAACTTTTTAAAATAAATTTAATTCTGAAGCACAGTTCCCTGGGGTTAGAAAAGAAAGGAACACACCACACTGAACTGCACACTATTCCATAGTTTTAAGGGGGTTGGTTGGAATGAATACATGGTAGCATTTCAAACCTAGTTGCTTCTGTGACCAGTGCTGTGATGGATGTGTGATTCACATGTGAGGGCTGCTCTGAGTCAATAGATGGCAGTCCATCGCCTAGTAAAGGGCTGAAGATGCGAAAATCAGCATGCAGCCCGCTCTCACTCACTATTAATACTGCTTAATTACAGGCAGGGACTCACATATTGTTCATATACTGATAAGGCAATTTAATAATTAGAAAACGATATATTTTAGATGGACTGATAAAGTATTTACACATTTATAAGCATAGTAGTGTTACAGTTATTCTTGAATAGTAATTCAGTGTTTATTAAAACTTGGTGAATTACAATGGTTACATTAATATTTTCTGAAAGAAAATCAACCAGGTTTCCAGATATGGAAAGTTTTCAAATTGAATTTGTTATTCTTACAGATAGAATATATTATATTCTAATAAAAATGAATTTATTTTATTTTTATTTTAAAAGATCTGTATTCTTTTTATACTGTTTCTGAAATGCTAAAAAATCCAACAAACCTTTAAGTATTTCTGTTACATTTGAAGCTAATTTTTATCCTTCAATAATAGTTATATAAAATTTGTTAGTAGAAAAGCTAACAGAATAAAAGTAAAACCTACTATAATATTATTTAATAAAGACAATGAATGTAGCTGCACTATTATACAGAGACTCTGATCTTGAGAAGTACAAGAACAATTCTGTTCCCCCGGGTTAGGCTGTAAGGGTTTTACTACGATTATGTTGCCAAACAACTGCTACAATACCACACACAATCCACTGACTGCATCTGTCACATGTATGTATAGAATATATAGACATGCATATGACTTTTATTTAATATAACAAACCTACAGATACTATCCCTGGCACTGTGGCCTGGACAGACAATGGGGGAAAGTCTACCTGTTGGCTCACTTTTTATTTCTGTAAGAGGAAAGCAGTATGTTTTTAAAAAACTGATTTTCCTTTTTTCTGACTTGCCTTATTATACACAAAACCATTTATATATTAAACTTTAACAATTATTAATAATGTTGAGTTATTTAACTGTATAATTAAAAGTTGTCTCTCAGCACAGTTAATACACTGAGAATGAACACTAAGGCAACAGAGAACTGCTTGGCAATGTTTCAGCTGGAGCGTCAAGTAAGCTGACTTCATAATGCTGAGCATCAGTCAGCTGGATTGTATAGCAACAGTTATTTTCTGCTTTTACTAAGACTAAAATCTTAAAAAATCAGAATTGAATAATTTGACTATTAAGCATGTATTATAAAATATGAACAAGTCAAGAGAGTTTTAAGGACAGAAGAACTGAACTGTCCTATGAGTGGCACACTACGTTTTTTTCTAATCATTTAAGACTTATCTCAGTCAAAGCAGGAAAATGATAATGAATGATATTGCGTGCTGTATGCTTATGGACAGTGGTAACAACATTCTACAAGCACCGGATTATCACACTGCTTCAGTTTCTAGCATACTTTCCCCTTTAATGAATACAGTCTAAGCCTGAGACTATCATGATATAATCATTCAGTGACGTGAATAATAAAAATCCTTTGAAACCTTTAAAAAACAGAAAAATAAAGGACAGGGCAGTGGGCAGGAGAGAGGGAAAGGTGTATTATTGCTTTCTCAGTACAAACTCTGTAGATGTTTATTATCTTGCTGCAGAAGATGCTTGTCTATATTTTATGGTCAGCAGTTCAGAGAAGGGTAAATAGACTGGGTCCTGGGGAAAATAAAAAGGTGTTTTTACTCACCGTTAGGTGATACTGCCTCCAGATTTCTGGGCAAGCCTGGAAAATAAAAATATTGATCAGCTGGGAGCATGAAACAAGGTACTTTACAGCCTGTTGGTTTTGGCATAACCCAGCATCCACCAGTGTCGGTCACAGGAAAATAAGAAGCTTAACAGAAAGGGTCTGCATTTCAGCTTCAAAAACCTGGCTAGACAGTTTAATTGAATTTTTACACTGGTTTAGCACACTCCCTGCTATTGTCAGGAAGCCAGTAACAAAGTTTTCCTCTTCTCTTTCTTCTCAGGTTAGAAGTTTGGGGACTAAGGTGTGATAAAGAGTCATAACTCAGTTAAACTATTAAACCAAGAGCCGTGGTCAAAATCTATAAGACTAAAATACATCTTTTAGAAGAGCATTCTTAACTTTGATAGCACGACAGAAGACAATTATTTAAAAGCAAGTGTGTCTAAGAAGCCCTCATTGTGTTATGTGTAACAGTTGCTGCTATCTTTTATCTAACCATTGGTGCTAATTTAAAACTTGATGAACAAGAGAATTAAAAAAAAAAAAAGACAAGCAAAAAAATCAAAGTCCAAGCCCTTTCTCTTAAGTGTCAAAATTTTACATGTTCATATTTATAAAGAAATAATCTAAAAACAAAACAATAAAGCCTCAAAAATTCCATCAAAGATGAACTTAGTGAAATCAGAACAGATAACAACAAAATACTCGGCAACAGCGACAGACTCAGTAGAGACCCCTCCCTGAGTCACACGTCAATCTCTTCATGGCAGATTATGACCTTGCTGAGGAAACACTGCCTCTAACAGCACTATTTAGCGCATCAGTTAACCATCTTTGCAGAAATACAATGCTGATGACAGCAACTATCAACAGCAAAATCTCTACTAAAAACACCACCTAAATGATTAGACAAGAGTATAACTCATCTGAAAAAACAACAAACCCAAAACCACATCTTAAGCACTTTAATTAGCCCATGCAATTTTCTGTAGGAAAGTGTATAAGTGAGAATGCCCAGTGGTCAGCTTTCCAGTTTTAATGGCATATTAATAAAATATAAAGTATCTGATAAAAACCCCACTACTTACGCCAATGATTTCTAGATAAATAACACTAAACAAAAGGAAACTAAATTTAGAAAATTAAAAGTAGCTCAGGAGGCAAAGACAATGCTAGAACCAGGTAAATAATAGCTACCAAGTTGTTGGTCACAAAAGTCCTTAAGGATGAAATATACAAAAACTTACATGCAAATACCTAATGTATGATATATCTTTAAATGCTCATTTCCTACCTTCTAGCATAAGCTTTTTGCTGTGTACATATAATTTGAGTTGGATTACTATAGAGATAAGCAAGTAGTTATTTATACATTAGCTATGGATAGTTCTTGATTACCACAGTATCCTCAGAATAATACGGTTGAAAAATCACAATCACTGAGTTGTCATAGACTGGCAGAATGCCACTCTACCATGTGACCTTTTCTAGTGTAGTAGCAATTTAGTAATAAAAGAAAGAATTACTTGGTTTTTGAACAATCATTTGATTGCTCTGTACACGAAGATGATTACTGATACAGAAATTTAGTAGTGAAAGACTTGAAGCTTCTTTTCTTTTATTAGACAATAGCACCACAATTTAAAAATTCTTCCTGGCTATTTTGTATGCACTTTTATTTAACATTCCTATGCACAGCTTCATTTTACTATTTTAATCATAACACTATGCAAGGTTAGAAAAGAGACTTCAAAGGAAGGGTCAACAGGAAGCATACACATTTAAGTATGAAACATAACCGCAATCCCTAATCAAAATTTAAAATCCTATATTTTTACATGCTAAAGCTTTGGCAGTTGTTTCTTCTTCTTCTTCCTTTTTTTTTTTTAACATTTCTTAGCATTATTCACATACACATATTTTAAAATTTCTTACTAAACACAATGGCAAAGAATTCTGGTTTATATATCTACTGGATGGAAAATTTAGGTGGAGTAAATTAATTTCTAAAGGAAGAAGCCAACTATTGCAACTGAAAACTTAGTCTAATTTATTTTAAAATAAATTTTAAACCGAATGAGTAGTCAGCTGTGTAGCACATGGAAAGTAAAAATATAATAAACCTTAAGTACAACTGTATTATTACTGCCTCGGTGCTCTCCCTTTACTGACATTAGGTAGTAAACGGACCCACAGGGTGTTCTTAAGTCACAGAACTGAACACACAGAGCGTACTTGTACATCTGTTTCTGCAATGTGGTACACTGTTTGCCAACTTCTGCCCAACTTGTTTTCCTGTCTATTGTATTTTGGATAATAAACATACATGAATAACTAATTGTTATTATTCATAAAATTCAAAGATGTATCAACACAGTTTGCTATGCCAGATGAATTGAGAGTTTATATTGTGCATTTAGACCCATATTGAATTTTATCAGGTGCTAATTATTGTTTTATGAGAACAACGGCTTAGGGCATCTGTTGTTTAATTCCCACTTCCCTATTCTCAAATGCGTACATCAAAGAAAATAAAACACTCAATCTTAAACAGCCCCTGACAGCAGACCAGGACTCAAGTGCTCAACAGACAAGGCCCTTGCCACCAGTTCTCATATTTCCACAACAATGAACAAACACAAAAACAGCACTAAGCGGCCTTTCCTCCTCCTCAGCTCCCCTTGGCCAGTTGTCTGCCTTGTACTAGAGAGAGCCCTTGAACGCAGCCCTGCTGGGAACACAGCACAGGAGAAAGGATTAGCCTTACTAACATGCTAGCATTTGCAAAAGGGAAGAAAAAAACCCCTCAGTACTGTATTTGGTATATGAATAACCAAAATGTATGAGCTGACAAGAGACCAGGACAGGCCTGTGGCTCCCCGGGAGAAAATGTAGCTGTGATGAGTGACAGGGCTTTCAGGAAATATGTTCACAATCACAGACAGTGAAGGCCATGACCTAGATCGTTTAAGAGCTTGTCTTGTCAAATTATCAAAAGCTTCTTCCTCTCTGAATAAAGAGTGACATAAGTGAGTGTCAGAAAGCTGCAGGCTGACAAGCCAAGCATACAATAACAGAATGCACGTCACATACATGCTGAACACCGCCACTGCTAGCGGCAAATCTTAATGAGAGCGCGGCCAGCCCAGGAGACTTGGGTCCCTGCTGGCACAGCTACTCATCTCACAAAAATCCTTCAGCTCCAAGTCAGCTAGGCGCTGACACGACAACTACAATTACGAAACATAACTTTTTAGCAGAACCCTCTGGTGCTTTGTCAAAGCCTCTGCTGGTAAGAGATGGCCCCTTAAGTCACTGTAGCAAAACAAAAGATTTAATAAAACAAGCAATATTCATCGATGGTGAATAGCTTAAATAAAACAAAAACTTAAGAGAATAATTTTGTTTAAAATTTGTTGAATGAGAAGTGATGGCAAGAAAAGGATTCCAGCTCTGGATTCAACCGTCAGTGTAACTTCTCCCATTTATATCGTTTTAGATCCCTTCATTTCAAATGAAGGACCCTATGCTGGAGCTTGGTCAACATACTCCTCTCAAGTCACCCAACTGTCCAAACACTTGGTAATTACTGTGTATGTATGTGTTCCTCTGACATACAATGTATTTACATTTCCTATTGCATATACACGGAGTATATGTGAGCTAGAATTTATCTTAGGGGATAAATTTAAGAGAGTATCCTAACATTTACTTTAAATAAAATTATACAGAAAAACAGCTTGAAGGTCTAAAATTACAGAAATCTATAATTAAAATTCAAAATGTTACTGTTTTAAGATTGCTTGCTTTATTTCTACTCTGCATAAAAACTGGCTATTCTTGGTAAAGAGAAGCTATAAAACACATCAACACAAATACATTTATACATATGTACATCACCTATATGTGACAATGTAAGCAGAATCTACATTTTTTCAGCAATCAGTATAAAGAGCCATTCACTGATCAATATTTTAAAGCTGCTTCCAAATTGAACCAGATTCCACAGAACCATCTTTTTATATAAGGTCAATTTTTAATCAGTCTCTATACTGATAATCCTCTACAATCAGGAAAACTGACAAGCTATTTTTTTTTTTTGTACAACATATTGACTTTTTGGTAGTATCCTAAGTGCAGTTGTAAGGGCATAAAGTTTGCCAGATTACATTTCAGTTTTATTAGAAAATGAAATTTTCCTTATTTTACAGAAAAATATTTAAAACTAAGCACGCACGCGCACACACACAATTCTCTTAAGTGACATTTTCTTTTGAAAAAGAATTTTGTATAAGAAATCGCAAATGTTTTTGGAGATTCCAGATGACTGATACAAGTTCATTTTACAAACAGCTGCTAATCTTCTAACATACGCTGTTTTTATCGAAGGATACTGCAAGCAAGACAATAGAAGAAAATGAAGACAAAGAATCATGAGAACACAAGAGTTAAAACTGACATGCCAGAACCAAATAAATGGCTGGGTTCAAATCCTGGGCCCTGTACTTACTGTCTTGGGCAAATTATACACCTCTGTGTCTCAGCTTTCTTACTGGTAAAAGGGGCTCTCAGAACTCTCTCAAAGGGTGCTGGGATGGTCAGCCTCAATAAGATTAATTCCTTAGAACAATGCCTGCTGTACTGCAAGTGCTCAACTGTTAATAGTTATTACTACAGTCACGAGACTGGCACTCTGTATATTTTTATTGAAGCTTTATGGTTATGGACAAATGGACATCAATAAGGTAGCCAAGATTCTACTGGATCGTGGTCAACTCTTCTTTGTGGTCAAACCTAGCAGGAAAGCAAAGACTCAAAGAAACAATCAAAAAGGAAAGGATAAACTAGATTTTACTTAGATGAGCCACTGTGGCTCCCTTCTTCATAGTGGAAAAAACTGAACCGATGAGCACCTAAGACATTCAGATGAGGTCTACTTAATGTTTCCAGTTGTTCACAAGTACATAGAAAAGGATACTGGATCAGATAATATCTGACTTTGTATCTTACAGCTAACTTCTGACAACAGAAAA